CGTCCCCGGGCCTGGCGGGCCGCGGCAGAGGAGGGTGGCGACTTGCCACGTGTCGCCCTGCGAGTGGGCGGACGGCGGCGGCGGACGCGTCCGGCCGGGTCGGACAATGTCCGGCCGGCGCGAGGAGCGGCGGATCTGGAAAAATTAGGGTTAGGGGGAGAGGAAAGATCCGAAATCGGGGGGTGTCTATTTATAGGCATAAGTGGAGCTAGGAGAGTCCAAATGAGGTGCGGTTTTCGGCCACGCGATCGTGATCGAATGCTGTAGGACATGGAGCAGAGTTTGGTGGGTTTTGGGCCAAAATAGAGGGGTGTTGGGCTGCAACACACACGAGGCCTTTTCGGTCCCTCGGTTAACCGTTGGAGTATCAAACGAAGTCCAAATGATACGAAACTTGACAGGCGGTCTACTGGTAGTAAACCAAGGCCGCTTGACAAGTCTCGGTCCAATCCGGAAATGTTTAATCCCCACACACGAAAGAAAGCTAGAAATGACCACCGGAGGAGAACGAAGCGCCTGAATGCAAAACGCACAACGGGGAAAATGCTCGAATGCATGAGACGAACACGTATGCAAATGCAATGCACATGATGACATGATATGAGATGCATGACAAAGACAACAACACACGGAGACAAAGACCCAACCCGAGAAATAAATATAACTTAACGCCGGAAACGGCAAGAGTTGGAGTACAAAATGGGAAAGTTATATCTGGGGCGTTACATAGGCTTAGGATTGGGTCTTGTCCATCACATCATTCTCCTAATAATGTGATCCCGTTATCAACGACATCCAATGTCCATGGTTAGGAAACTGTAATTATCTATTGATCAGCGAGCTAGTCAACTAGAGGCTTACTAGGGACATGGTGTTGTCTATGTATTCACACATGTATCTGAGTTTCCTATCAATACAATTCTAGCATGGATAATAAACGATTATCATGAACAATGAAATATAATAATAATAACTAATTTATTATTGCCTCTAGGGCATATTTCCAACAATGGGTGCTATTGGCACTTGATGTTGCTATTTTTAGATATTTCCTTGTTCAGAATTATGCAGTGATCAGTGTCAGTTGCAGCAAAGAAGATGTCACTGATTAGTGACTTGCCCAACAGCAAGTAGATTAGTGCTCTTGCCCAATAGCAAGTGACTGATCAGTGGCACTTGCTGTTGGGCAAGTCCACTGATCAGTGGCATTTGCTTGCTTGCTTGCTTTGTTTGATACTAATACTTGTCATGTTGCCTGACAAGATACTGAAGACTGACTGGGATGTGACGGGTGGAGGAGCTCAGGTCGTGGCCGGAGCTGAGCGCGCCGAAGATTTCATCCCCACGAACAGGTGGCTCAGGACGATGGACCTACCTGGCAGGATCGCCTTCATGAGCGTGCCTCGTTCAAGGGGACGATCTCCGAGGCAGGGCCACGAGGAGGGGGCCAGGGAGCCGATGAGATTCTATGAACAGATCAAGGACAACGAGGACCTCGCCATGCTCGTCGTCCTTCCCAAGTTCGTGGAGGTGATGAACACCTGGCTGGTCATCAAGCGACTCCCGCGCGTGGTCAGGCTCTCAGCCAACAAGAGGTGCGTGTTCTGGGTGCAGGTCCAGAACTTCGAGGGCCAGATGGTGCTTGGCCGGGGGTGGAACTACTTCTGCCGCCGCCACAAGATCATCCCCGGCGACCTCGTCGTTGTGCGCATCTCCGGATTGGGACTGAAGGTTCAGATCTACAACCACGACTGGTCGGTGATGTGCAGGTACCGTTGCAGCAGGCACAACTGCCTTGGTGGCATTGAGCAGGCTATGTAGTTAAGTTAAGTCAGGTGTTAGTGGAGAACTTTTAGGGTGTGTGGCGAGACTTGTGCTGGGAACATGTTTATATTTTGGCCAGGTGCAGCACCCTGGCACAACAGGGAAGGAGGATGCCCCTGCTCTTAATCTAGACTATGCTATTTAGTTAAGTAGTTTGCTGTGTTAAGTTTGTTGTCATTACATTGCTTGCTTTGTTTGATCTTGCTGTTGTGATGTTGCTGTTGTGCTGATCATGTGTGATGGTAAGGCCACCACATTTGAATAGGGTGAGCAGAACACAAACGCTGTTTGCAACCAAACAGCTGAAGTTTGCGTTTGCTCACATCCTAAGCACAAATGTGGGCAACCAAACATCAAGGGATAAGTCCCTCTCGATGCGATGCAGGCAACCAAACAGGTTGCATCTGCTGCATATGAGGCTGTATTTCAGCAACCAGGCTGGGTTAAGATGGACATACAATACAAGTACTGTTCCAAACTGCAATCAAACACGCCCCAAATGATCCTTTTACTAGCCCTATGGCAAGCTTAATATGGACAATGTTGTGCCAATACGAGACTTGTCATCTTGTGAAACATGAGCACACGTCTCCCGCTCTTCCAGTTTATAATCTCCAAGCTCCAAGCTCTTCCAGTTTCCGCAGATGCATGGCAAGATGGTACTGAAGCTACATGGGCATCCCCAGAAATTTAATTCGGCTCTCGGGAGCACATGTTCCCAGGCCTGAAAATATTTTTCAAATGTCAAAAAATCATTCTTAGTCACATCTAAATGCTACCTGCAAATTTTGAGGTAAAAAGGTTAACCATTTTGGCCCGTGCACAAAAAAAAGACAAATTGAAGATTAAATGTCACCTCAATTTTCACTGAAGAAACACTGCTGCTACGTTTCACATTAAATTTGTCAAGCATGCTTGCGACAAGAACGTGAACATCTATAAAAAATCATTCTTTTTCATTTTTTATATTTTTTTGAATTTACTGTTCATTCAGAAGATGTATCTTAAGAAAAACTAGGTCTTTGTTTGGACCGACGAGCTTGTACCGTCATCGTCAGCGTCAGGATGGTGCAAGTGCCAGATGCCGAAATGACCATCTAATGAAACATCCATATATAATAATTGTCGAGCAGCAATATCCTGTCTTTATTTAGCTGCATTTTGCGTGCGGTACTCCTAAACTTCTGAAGGTCGTGGTCATGTCTAGTGTGATGCGAGGTATGTTTACCTGCCTGTGTTAGGTCCAATCAGCTAATAAGCTAAACACGACTCTCAGTTGTTTTGGTTGCTTCCAGTGTGTACGGTGCAATCCTTTGCTACAGAACGTGTACAGTGTGCTTTGGACTAATGACTTGTGACGTGCACACGTTTGCGTGGTCTCGGGCTCTCTCGAAATGGTCTTTCACATTATTTTATAAATAAAGACACACGGCCGTGGTGAAAAGATACACTTACCAAGCATATGAAAGAAAAACCTGGTAACAGAAAACACAACGCAAACAACACACGAAATATGCACTATGAGCGGCACGACTATGCCGAGGAGCATGAGTACATGAATAGCCGGACTCCAGCCATCCACGCTGCGATTGTGGAGGAAGAACATGCTCGCGTCTCCGGAAGGATCCACCGGACGTGGCCGCAAATTCACTCGCGTGCCTAAATGTCGTCGGAGAGGGTCATCTGCCCTCTCGCTCCAGCCCGAGGAGGGCCGATCTTGATCCTGCTGGGCTGGGGTGAGCAGTATAGGTCAAGAGCTTTGCCGATACAGTCACACGGGGGCAGAAGTACTGGTGTTCGTTTGACAATTTGCCATTCCTCCGGAAAGGTCACGCTCACTTGCAAGTTTCAACGCTGTCGTTTGTGTTCATATCTTTTGTTCAAATCTGCGGTGGGAAATTAAGATATATACGCCATTCATATAAGTGGATAATATGACTATATTACAGTTTTATTTGCATTATTACGGGATGATACGCCGTTTCCGTCACTGCCAGCACCAGCGGCAGCACGTGCCAAATGACAAAAGGACCACCACCCTGATACATAAAGCTATCCATATGTCGGGTTGCCGTAGCCGAGCAGCGGCAACGTCTTACGTGGCTGCATTTAGCGTGCGGTACAGGTGAACATATGAAGACGATCCAGTCTATATATATCTTACGTAGCGTATCTTGGAGGGTTCTACAGAAAATAGAAATCAGCTACATAATCAGATCAGAGTCAGAGAGGGTGCAGGTGCGCTTGCGTCGCTACACTACACGGGCTGAGCCATGGACGTCTCGTCACTCTCCGCTCTCTTGCGCTCATCGCCATTCCTCCTCCTCCTCGCCGTGCTCGTGCCAATCTTCTCCTCCTTGTTCCTCTTCTCTGCCAGGAAGAAGCTTTCTCCGTCGTGCACCGATGGCGGCCGGCGGCTGCCTCCGTCGCCGCCGGGGTTTCCCGTCCTCGGCCACCTGCCCCTTCTTGGCTCCCTGCCGCATCGGAAGCTCCGGTCGCTGGCCGAGGCGCACGGCCCGGTCATGCTCCTGCACCTCGGCCGCGTGCCCACCGTCGTGGCCTCCTCGGCCGCCGCGGCGCAGGAGGTCATGAAGACCCGCGACCTGGCCTTCGCGAGCCGCGCCCAGATACGCATGGCCGAGCGGCTCCTCTACGGCCGCGACATGGTGCTGGCGCCCTACGGCGAGTACTGGCGCCAGGCGCGCCGCGTCTGCGTTGTCCACCTCCTCAACCACCGCCGCATCCTGTCCTTCCGCCGCGTCCGGGAGCAGGAGGTCGCCGCCCTGCTCGACGCCGTCCGCCGCCGCTCGCTTCACCCGCCGGGCGTGCTGAACCTCAGCGACATGCTCACCTCCTACTCCAACGCCGTCATCAAGCGGGCCGCGTTCGGCGACGGGGAGTACGGGATCGACGGCGACGACGGGGGCGAGAAACTGAGGAAGGTGCTCGACGACTTCGAGGAGCTGCTGGGGACGCCCACGGTGGGGGAGTTCGTGCCGTGGCTGGCATGGGTGGACACGCTCACAGGGCTGAATGCCAGGGTGACGCGCACGTTCGAGGCGCTCGACGGGTTGCTCGAGCGGGTCATCGCGGACCACCGCAAGCGGCGTCTGGCCGGCGGGCCGGTGGTGGGCGGCGGCGAGGACGATCGGCGGGACTTCGTGGACGTGCTGTTGGACGTGAGCGAGACGGGAGAGGAGGCCGGCGGAGTCCGGTTCGACGTGGTCAGCATCAAGGCCATTATGCTGGTACGTACGTTGTTCGTGCGTGTATTTTGTATCTATTTTATATGGGAGTATAGCGGTAGTCAATTTTCTGGGGTCAGATCAGCATCCAACGGCCAGGATCATGGCGCATGTTCTTCTTCCTTCCGCTTAAGAGCATCTTCAACAGCCGCGCGCAAAAAACCTGTTTAACGCGCGCCCTGCGGCTGGTTTTGCGCGCCCGCCTGCGCTGGCTCCAGCAGCCGCGCTATAATGCAGCGCGCGCGCCGCTCCAGCAGAGCGCAAAAATACAGCGCGCACGACTCGCCGGGCATTTTGCACATATGATATTTAAAAAAAAATGAACATGTCAAATTTGACACAAACAAGTTGATGAATAAAAGTTCATGCCCACAAGTTCAAAATCATGCCCACAAATTCATCCAACCAAGTTCAAATGCAAACTAAAGTTCAAGACATGAAAGACACATCAATCTTCATCTTCCTCGTCTTCGTCTTCGTCCTCATCTTTCGAAGACGACTCTTCCGCCTCCGAAGATGAATCTTCCTCCCTCTCCTCATCACGCACCGCATCACGCACCGCATCATGTGAAGCTCCGACGGTGTTGGCAAGATCTTCAACGGCATCTTCATGAGAATGTGTGTGAGAAGGCACATCGAAAAACATTGCACCCATGGCAGCCGGAGGTGCACCCATGCCTCCCATGAGAGAAGCAAAACTCATGCCTTCCATGGCGTCCATAGCGTCGGAGGGTGCTCCAAAGCCATCCATGCCTCCCATGGCGGCCGGAGGTGCACCCATGCCTCCCATGGCGGTCGGAGGTGCACCCATGCCTCCCATGGCGGCCGGATGTGCACCCATGCCTCCCATGGCTCCGAAGCCACCCATGCCTCCCATGGCGCCGAGGCCACCGCCACCCATGGCGCCGAGGCCACCGCCATCCATTGCACGAACCAAGGCTCTTTTTTTGGATCAAGACTTCTTGTTGGGCAAGATTGACATACTCTTTTTGCGCCGCATTGAGGTTAGATGTGTCCAAGAAGAATAAGTGCTTCTCCCATTCCAACAACTTAGCTCGCTCCTCGTTGCTCACTTTCCTCTCCTCCAAAGCCACCTTTCTCTCCTCGACCGCCACCCTTCTCTCCTCGGCCGCCAACCTCCTCTCCTCGGCCACGACATCTTGGTTCCTTGCCATTTTCCTTACCTCATTGGCTTCGATCCTTGCCTTCACAATAGCTTCCATAGCATTTTTGAGCTCATCATCTCCTTTCCTCTTCTTCTTTTTGGTTTTGTCTTTCTTGCACCCATCCGGTTGTTTTGGCTTCGAGTATGAAACCGAGTTGGGTGTGGGGCTTCTCTTGCCGTCATCACTTGATACATCATCCTCCTCCTCATCATCATTCATCTCAATTGCTCGCTTCCGTTTGTTGCTCAAATGCAAATCCTCCAAACCATAACGCTTCTTCCATTTCTCATCATCCTTTAACACTTCATAGCAATGAGGCAAGGTAAAGACCTTGCCTTTCTTGATCTTCCCCTTCTTGATTGTCCTTGTCTCTTCTTTGAACAAGTTTTGTGCAATGTTGTACTACAAGAAAAACAAAACAAGTTAGCACTTCGGTCACCAAAAACAAGTATGATGAACATATATGAGATGCCACTTACTCGATCATCCTCATTTGTGCCACTTGGGTTAATCTTGTCAACTGCCTTTTGTACGGCCGCCCACTTTTGACAATCTGAGTTGATTGTCGACCATCGGGACCGAAGTGATCTCTCGGAGCGGTCAATTCCACTCAAGTTGTGAGCATCAAAGTGTTCTTTCATTCACCCCCAATACGTGTCTCTACTTTGATCACCTCTAATGGATGGATCCCTCGACACTTGCAAATAAGTATGGCATAGTAACTTGTCATAGTTGGTTGAGTAATTGCCCGCTCTTCCTTTCGGCGCCTCGACAATTCCCTCACCCTCCTCGTCCACCTCAAACTCATGGTCTTCGAAATGGATGTCATTGGTTTGAGACCAATGCGAATTGTTGGACCCAACACCCATAGTGGACATGTATGCATCACCGTTGAGACTACAAAGTTTTTTGAACAATGCAAATAAGCTATCTATATGTGATGATGATGCATTGAAAAAATAAGAAGAAAAGAAAAGTTGAATTTTTTTTCACCTTGGGGGCATTTCGTCGAACACGTGGTGCGCGTCGGCGGCCGGCTCAACGAGTGAGCTCGCCGGCGCTTCGGTAGCCGCCGCGGCCGTCGAACGCCCTGCAAGCTTCTTTTCCCTCGCCTTCGTGGTGTCGGAGCCGTCCGCCGCCTTGTTTTTCTTCGCGGATGTTTTGCCCTTTTTCTTCCGCGCCGCATTGGGGACCTTCTTCGACGGTGCGGCGGCGGCACGGGACGGCGCCGACGCGACGTCACCCGGCGCCGTGGTCATCCGCGGCGGCAAGAAGAGGCTGCGCGCGTGGCCGGCGCTCGGCGGAGCTCCGGCGGTGGCGACGCCAGCGCTTCCCGCGCTAGGGTTTCTGGCGGCGGCGGGGGGTCGCGGCTGTACAGCGGGGTGAGCGGGGCGCCGGTGTGCGCGTCCATGGGTGGGTGGCAGGGCGCTGGCGCCGGCGTGCGCGGGGCGTAGGACGAGGAGAGGAGAGAGTGCGGCGCGAGCGCTCGAGTGTGCCGCGCGCTGTAGCTGGCGCCCAAAATACGCCGCGCGGGTAAGTGTTTTCAACCACGCGCCCAACCCGTTATAGCGCGCGCGCCGTTTTTGCGCGCCCGCTGAAGCGACCCGCTGCGTTGCGCGCGCGTTAAAACGGCCTAATTTGTGGCGCGACGCTAGTTTAGCGCGGCTGTTGAAGATGCTCTAAGGCCGACTTGCCCCGCTTTCATCCGCCTGCCGCCTCGCCCTCCCCTCAACCTCCCCGGAGTGTTCCTTGCTCAGCCTTGCCAGGGGCGACAGTCGATGGGTTCGCTCCTCAAGTCACACCCACCCTCGGCCTTGATGCGAAATTAACTGACTAACGGCAAAACAAGTTTTAGGGATCTAACATTTAGCATGCACTATTTTTAATGAATAATGCTACACCTACAAACAAATTACATTAAGTTTTACATAATGAACCGGTTGGCGAATTGTGATTGAGAGTAAGGGGAGGAGGGGCCCACCCCCAAAATTCAGGGTGCCCAAGAAACATGGTGAAGGAAAGTTACATAAACTTCCGTAACTTTGTTCGTAGGTGTAGGATTACTGTTTTTTTTATTAATCAACAAACACTTTTCGCAAGTTCCTTGCTCAGCCTTGCCAGGGGCGATGCGTTCGCTCCTCACGTCACACCCACTTTCGGCCTTGCTGCAAAGTTAACTGACTAACGACAAAGAAGTTTTCAGCGATCTAACATTTAGTGAGCACTATTCTTAATGAGCAATGCTACACTTACGAACAAATAACATTAAGTTAAGGTAACAATGAGCCAGCTAACAAACTGTGATTGAGAGCAGGGGAGGAGGGGCCCACCTCCCTGAAATTCAGGGAGCCGAAGAAAATTGGTGAAGGAAGTTACGTAAATGTTCATAACTTCGTTCGTATGTGTAGGATTATTGATTTATTGTAATCAACAAACACATACTTCCTGTGTTCACAAATAATATAAGATGTTTTAGATATTTTACTACATATTACATATGAACTCAAGTGAGTGAACAAAAACACCAAATCGTTACTATATGTATTGATTCAGAAAAAGTTTGAACATCTTGTATTTATGAACGAAGGGTGTACCCCCTACGTTCCTAACCATATCCATATGACGTTTTGGTAGTTCAAAATATACAGTAAGTTTGCAGCGATCAGCTCGACACTGGACGTAGACAAAACTGGGTCTGCCGATTAATTAGCTCACATCCAAATACAAGTCGATTGATGTGCAAACTGTTGAGAGCTACAGGGAGCGCTGACCCTCATCATCTTCCCTTCCACTTCCACCGTCGACGATGGGTGACGAGGGGAAGAGGCTGCATGCTTGTCGTTGCCGTACGACGCCAATACTGCTTATCTATCGACTACCCTACAGCTTTTGGCGTCATTTTCCCTTCTAATACGTCAATAGTGCTTAGCACTTACGACTAGTAGTCGGCACTCCGCAGACAGTTACGTCTTGTTTGGTCTCCTGCGTCTATTCTCTCTGCTCCAAACAGCTACTCAGGATCGAAGCATTTTACCCAAAATGTCAAGTTGGTGACCCTATGCCGAACTAAATTTGGGTAGGACAAAAATAATACTCCCACGTTAGATGGTTCGCAAATTTACGTAAACCATTACGTAGATGTAGCATTGCTCGAGTAGAATTAACGGCTGAAAGTAAAATAATAGTTTGGCGACTTTGAGCTCGCTTATGTGCAACTAAACTGAATTTCATTGGAGGAATAGCTAGCAAATCTGACATATAAATCTGCCGAAGTACTACAACCTGACACTGTTGGGCATGCATGACTACACAGGATATGTTCGCCGCCGCGACAGACACAACCTACACGACAATGGAGTGGACCATGGCGGAGCTCATCAACCACCCGCGCGTAATGCAGAAGCTCCAGGACGAGATCCGCGCGGCCGTCAATGGCGGCAGCGGCGTCACCGAGGATCACCTCGGCACGCTGCGCTACCTGAGGGCCGTGATCAGGGAGACGCTCCGGCTGCACGCGCCCCTGCCGCTCCTCTTGCCCCGGGAGACGATGGAGGACACGGAGCTGCTGGGCTACCGCGTCCCGGCACGGACGCGCGTGGTGATCAACGCCTGGGCCATCGGCCGGGACCCGGCGACGTGGGAGCGCGCCGAGGAGTTCGTGCCGGAGCGGTTCGTGGACGACCCGGCGGAGTATGGGGCGGGCCATGACGACTTCAGGGCCGTGCCGTTCGGCGCTGGGAGGAGGGGGTGCCCCGGGGTCGGGTTCGCCGTGCCGTCCATGGAGCTGGCGCTGGCGGGCCTGCTGTACCATTTCGACTGGGAGCTGCCGGCGGCGGCCGGCGGGGCAGTGTCAAAGCTGGACTTGAGCGAGCTGTTTGGGATATCTGTGCGACTCAAGACGGCGCTGCATGTGGTTGCTAAGCCGTCGTCTGCTTAAGCGGCGCGCGCGGCTTGCTTGAAGATGTAATGCTACCTTTCATACTGGTGGTTGTTTTGTGTTCTTGTATGTACTATATACTGCCTGAAATGTATTGCGAGATCATGTAGGCGCGTGTTGCCGCGCCCGTTTATTAAGATTGAGAATGCCAAGAACTGGTAAACATATATTTTGATTTACACATAGCAAAGTGTGCAGACCACGTCAAAATAGACTTGTTATGATCACCGAGTGGCACTTGGATGAAATTGTGTGGTGGCAAAAAAGAACCGACGACAATAATCCTAACCGAAACACAATGGCCTCCCTCACCATGATCGTTTTTAGGCCATTTGATACGAGAGAAACGCCCTTGTTTTCCGTCACAAAAGCACGCCGCCGCCGATCCTTCTTACCAACATTTTAGAAGATGCAAAACTTTGGGTCACCGCGGGCGCAAAGAAATTAGGGAACATCATAGTGTACGAGTAATTGCCATGCTGCATTTGTGAGTGCATTGTGAAAAACTCTAAACTCTACTCTCCCTTATTAAATTGAGATGCAAATCTTTTGTCCCCGTTTCAAAAAAATATATATAACAAGAACTTTTGCAGAAGTCACATAGTGAGCTTAGATAACTAAGGCCCCCCGCAAAAAAAAAAAAAACTTAGATAACTAAGGAATACTAAAACATAAGCATGGAACCAAGTAGTTAGTTGAGCATATGCTAACTATTTTTAACAAGCCAAAACCATTTCTATATCTGGACATGTTCACTTTGAATAAATAAAAAAAAGCAAACGAAAGCACATTAGCTCATGTGCATTTTTCTTGTAGGTCTACATATCCAAGTAGTACATGTAGTGCGCTCAGTGGCGTCCAACAAACCTGGCAAAAAAGTTACATTTAGTACCTTTATAGCGAGTGTCATCACAGGATAGTTTTCAGCATGCTGCTTGTAAGACAATAAGTTTTGGGAACCAGCACAACCCTCTAGGGGTGGCTTATCTCATTATATATAATGGTTGTGTTACAATACGTACATAGGTACAGAAGTTATACATAGTCTAACACCCTCCCTCAATCTTAGCCACTTTCTAAAGAACTGAGAAGGGTAAGATTGCGCCTACAAGCCTCAAACTGTGGCAGTGGTAAAGGCTTAGTGAAGATGTCTGCAAGTTGATCCTTAGACGAGATAAACTTGATCTGGAGTTGCTTCTGTGATACACGTTCCCGTACAAAGTGATAGTCAACTTCAATGTGTTTCGTTCGGGCATGAAATACTGGATTTGCAGAAAGGTATGTAGCACCGATGTTATCACACCAAAGAATAGGAGGCTGTGGTTGAGACAAACCCAACTCCTGAAGCAAAGACTGCACCCAAATAATCTCTGCAGTAGCATTAGCCACAGCCTTGTACTCAGCTTCAGTACTGCTACGTGACACAGTAGCCTGTTTCCGAGCACTCCGGGCGATCAAATTAGAGCCAAAGAATACTGCATAACCCCCCGTGGATCGCCTGTCATCTGGGCTACCAGCCCAATCTGCATCAGAGAAGGCCGAAAGGACCCGAGAGGAAGTCGGCCGAATATGCATACCAAAAGTCAGAGTGAACTGAACATAACGAAGAATGCATTTAACAGCAGCCCAATGAGTATCTCTGGGAGCCTGAAGATACTGACAAACTCCGTTAACAGCATAAGAGATATCTGGTCTCGTGATCGTCAAGTACTGAAGTCCACCAACAATGCTTCTGTACTCTGTGGCATCCGCAGGAGACAAAAGCTCACCATCAACAACTGTTATCTTGTCGGTAGACGACATGGGTGTGGTGGTCGGTTTGCACTTCAGCATGCCGGCTTTTTGTAACAACTCCAAGGAGTACTTCTTCTGCGTAAGGACAAGACCAGTAGCACGAGAAGTGACCTCAACTCCAAGAAAGTAGTGAAGCTTCCCAAGATCTTTGACCGCAAAATCAGCACCAAGAGAGCAGACAAGAGCATCAGCAGCATACTGAGAAGAGCTGACAAGGATAATATCATCGACATATACCAAAAGATACATAGTGACTTCTGGCTTCTGTAGAAGAAATAATGAAGTGTCAGCAGTGGACGGCACAAACCCATGAGCACGAAGGGCAGAGGCAAGGCGGGCATGCCAGGCACGAGGAGCTTGCTTCAAACCATATAGTGCTTTGGAAAGACGACAGATATAGTCAGGACGATCAGGATCAGAGAAACCAGGCGGCTGTTTCATATAAACCTCTTCCTCCAAAAATCCATGTAGAAAGGCATTCTGCACATCAAGTTCACGAAGTGACCAACCACGAAAAACAGCAATGGAGAGAAGAAGCCGAATAGTGGTAGGCTTGACGACAGGACTGAAGGTGTCCTCATAGTCAAGACCATGACGCTGCCGAAAACCGCGAGCAACAAGTCGCGCCTTGTAACGCTCAATAGATCCATCCAAATGCTTCTTCACTTTGAATACCCATTTTGAGTCAATAACATTTACCCGTGGTGGTGGAGGAACGAGAGTCCATGTCTTGTTACGAAGAAGAGCATGAAACTCCTGCTCCATAGCCTCTCGCTAATGTGGAATGCGCAGGGCAGCCTGATATGAGCGAGGCTCAGAAGATGGATCCGCAACAGCAGCAGCCAAACAAGCAGCCAACCAAGCAACCGTACCATCCGTACGTTCCTTAGGTTTGAAAATGCCACTGCGACTGCGTGTATGCGGTCGAGACACAGGAACCACTGAGGTCGACGGAGCAGCCTGCAACGGGCTAGAGGACGGCGACGTTGATGAGTCAGCCGATGACGAGGAGCCAGGCACGGTAGCCTCGGACTCAGTCGGCGAAGAAGGCCGGTCCACCGGCAAAACCGGCAGAGCAGACGAAGCAGCTGGCGACTCCGGCATCCCAGACCGGGCCGATGGCGAGCTCAGCATAGTGGGCCGTGGCGCGGCCGGTGTCGCGGGCCGATCCGCTGATGAAGGCGATGTGAGGACCCGAGGCGCGGGCGAAGACGGCGTGACGGGCCGAGCCACGGGCGACTCGGCGGCCGCTGGTGAAAAAGGCCGAGCCGCTGGAGACTCGGCGATCACTGGCGTAGCAGACCGAGCAGTGGAGATGCTCGGCGTGACGGGCTCGTGGGTGACCATGCATGGGCACGCGAATCGATGCCATGCAACATAGGGCGATCGACGTGCCCACCAGAAGACGACGGTGATGATGGTGAATCCTCCAACAACTCCAAACGAGCTCCACGTCCGGTTCCTGCACCATGGTTAGGTAACAGCAAAGGAGAGTGTTCAACATCATCAAATTGGTCAGAAGAAACAGAGGATGAATGCAGGGATGGTGGTTCGACGGTGGACACAGGAAGGTTGGCAAAGGGAAAAACTCATCAAACACGACGTCCCGAGATATATAGACACGATTAGTGGGAACATGAAGACATTTGTAACCTTTATGAAGAGAGCTATAGCCAAGGAAGACACACTTCTTAGAATGAAACTCAAGCTTGCGCTTGTTATATGGACGAAGATGCGGCCAGCAAGCACACCCAAATACCTTGAGAAAGGTATAATCAGGTTGTTCATTAAGGAGAACCTCAATGGGAGTCTTCATGTTTAAAACACGAGTAGGAGTACGGTTGATGAGAAAGCATGCAGTGGTGAAAGCATCACTCCAGAACCGAAACGGAACAGATGCATGAGCCAAAAGAGTAAGACCAGCTTCAACAATATGACGATGCTTACGTTCGACTGAACCATTCTGCTGATGTGTATGTGGACATGCTAAACGATGAGCTATCCCAAGCGACTGAAAGAAGGAGTTGAGGTTGCGATACTCGCCCCCCCAGTCCGACTGGACATGAACAATTTTGTGCTTGAGAAGACGTTCAACATGTTTTTGAAACTGAACAAAAATATCAAACACATCAGATTTGCGTTTAATAAGGTAAAGCCAGGTAAAGCGACTATAAGCATCAACGAAACTGATATAGTAATTATGACCACTGACAGAAGTCTGAGCAGGACCCCATACATCTGAAAACACAAGTTCTAACGGATGTTTCACCTCACGACTGGACTCCGAAAAAGGAAGTTGATGACTCTTCCCCTGCTGACAAGCATCACACACTGCTACATCTTTATTACTAGACAAACTAGGAAGCTCATGACGACGCAAAATATGACGGACAATAGGTGTGGCCGGGTGACCAAGACGAGCATGCCACTATGACGGAGAGACCCGAACTCCACTGAAAACGCGAGCGACGCCAGGATGCTCCAGACGGTAGAGGCCCTGGCACAACCGCCCACTAAGAAGAATGTCCCTCGTGCCCCGATCCTTAATAAAAAGATCAAAAGGGTGAAATTCACAAAGCACATTATTATCACGTGTGAGTTTAGGAACTGAAAGAAGATTGCGGGTCACAGATGGAACGCGAAGAACATTGCGAAGCTGAAGACTCCTATTGGCATGTCTAGTGAGAAGAGATGCTTGACCAATATGAGAGATGTGCATACCTGCTCCATTGGCGGTGTGGATCTTGTCGGAGCCATGATAGGGTTCACGAGTGTGAAGCTTCCCCATCTCGCTGGTCAGATGCTCTGTCGCCCCAGAGTCCATGTACCAGTGTGGATCGATGGAGTAGGACTGAGTGTGTCCCTGGTGCTTCTGCGGCGCGGGACGATCAGCCATGGCGACCTGATGGGCATTGTTGCGTGTATCTTTGCCGTCATTGCCAAGACCAAGGAAGCTTCGCTGGAAGCGCTTATGACACTTGGAGGCCCAGTGCCCATCGCGGCCACAAAGCTGACACACACGTGGACCGCCAGCCCCCGGTAAGGTCGCAGTAGGTGGGGGGGCCGAGGCGGGCGACGGTGGCAGCCCCAAGGGAGACCGGGGTGATGAAGAAGAGCGGCCACCCTTGGTGGCGACGTTGGCCGAGAGAGAGCCAGTGCCCCTGGTGCGGCGAGTCTCGACCCGTTGCTCAGTGAGAAGAAGCCGA